GTATGTTGACATTGCATAAAGCAAAACGTGCAACAACAGAAAACCAATCCAGTAGGAGACACAATATGTAGGTTTTTGTTTCATTTTGAGAATTCCTGCATCATTCTCCAAAGTAGATGACAGCTCAGTGAAACAAAAACAACAAAATGAAACACACAAACCAAACAACTTTGATCACCTAAACAAAACTATAAAAGGAGTAACAGAATGACAACAGGATAACCTCATACACTCGAAACACCACGCTTCTAAGTAACCCTCAGCCAAAGAGGACAGTTCAATGAAAATGAACCAAAATTATACCAAAACATGTGTCCAGGGTGACAGCCCCAGCACAGGCGAGCAGGACACTTCCAGCTCTGGGTGCTTCACACCAGCAAAAAGGAAAGCCTCAAGACCACACTCTACGTTCCTAGGCTCAAGAAGCTAGGCGGGAAATCACACTAAGAAAAGCAAAGAGGAGGAGATAATACAGTATAAAAACAATCAATGAAACAAAAACTGCTTATTTTAAAAAATCAAGAAAATAAACCTCTAAGAAGGCTGACAGGTGTTTTTGTTGTTTGTTTTTGACACAAATTATCAATATCAAGAAGAATCTGTTTTAGTTACTTTGCTATTGCTGAGATAAAACACAAGACCAAGGCAATTTATAAAATAAAGCTTAATGGGGTTTAAGGTTCCAGAGGGACAAAGTTTTTGATGGCTGTGAGAAATGTGGCAGCTAGAATTGCTGCTGAAACCTCACATCTCTATCCTCAAAGGGCACATTATTATTGACTGCAGGCTTTTGAAACATTAAGGCCAGCCCTCAGGGTCATACTTCCTCCAATAAGGCCACACCTCCTAATCCATTCCAAACAGTTCCACCAAAGGGGAACCAAGGATTCAAACATACTAGCCTATGGAGGTTGCCACAATAGCTATCACAACAAAACCCATATTCATCTGAAACAATAAGGATGCTACAAATGCTTTTTACATCCATAAATTCAACAAAACCCACAAACCACCAAAGTATAATCAGGATGAAGCAGGCAACCAGAATAGTCCTAGAAGCACATAACCACACAGAATTAGGTCTAGAATCTAAAATGTGTATCTCCACCCAGAAGTCTAAGACTACATTCTCACAAGAGAAGTCAATACTGGCTGAGCTTGTGGTTCAGTTAGTAGAATGCTTGCCTACCACGCATGAAGCCCTGGGTTCAATCCCCAGCATTGCATACGAAAGGGCAGAGTGGCACATGCCTGTAATCTCAGCAATTGGGAGGCAGAGGCAAGGAGAGCAGAAGATCGAGCACCAAGCATATCTTTGGCTACATAGTGAGTTCAAGGACAGCCTGGGCTACATGAGGTCTTGTCTCAAAAAAACAAAACAAAACAAACGAAACCTCCAAAGCATTAATAGTGCTTTTTCAAAGTTTCTTCTGGAAACACAAGAGGGGGGCTTTTCTCAATTCATTAAGGTTTTAATATCAAAAGCAAACAGTCTAACAGATATCTCTCAAGGTGTAAAAATCTCTCAATAAAATACTCAATTCAACCCAGCAGTATATATAACTAAATATGATCTGCCCAAATTCAACTTATCCACACCAACAGGATAACAGAATCACAGTACAAACATATTAAAACCTAACTGAAAATTCTCAGGAACTTAGGAGTCGGGGTAAAACTTCCTAATTTTTATGACTTTATAAAAGTATCTTCAAAATATCTATAGCTAACATACAGGTAATTATTTTACTCTTTAGACAGAAAGCTGCTTTTATGACTTTTATCCAATATAATTACTAAGTTCTAAGTTCTAGTCAATTCAGGGAAAGAAATGGGGCACTCCCTATGTGCAGATAAAACGAGGAGTGTCTACAGGGATTGCCCAAGAAGTTACTTCATTTACTTGTGCGCATACAAACACACACATGTGGGTTACGATGAGGGCACAAACTCAGAGGTCAGAGGACCCCTACCACCTCATTACAGATGTGCTGGGATTGGGTATGTGCTATCAAATCCTGCTGTATGTGTATCCCACTGTCACTCAGCACGGTAAAAACAAAACACCGCTCCAAGGACAGGCTCACACACAGAGCGCCACTGATCCCAACATCTGGGGTCTTCTGCTAGCCCTACACTGTGGCATTGAAAGGTTCTCAATCTAAACAAGGGGCCAACTGCCATAGGATGTCGAGGGGTACAAAGAAGAATGAAAATTAACTCTAATCTGTGAATTTTGCTCTGCTAGGGAGGAACAAGTCCAAAGTTGCAGACATTCACAAATACCTCACAGAGATGCTACTGTCAATCAACATTCATCCACTTTGCATTTCCAATTCATAATGACTTGCTTCAGATTGAGAACGTGCACAAAGATCAATTGGTGGGTAAAACAAATACGACATAAAAACACTAGAAAAGGCAGCCAGTGGGTGTGTGGAAGGTTTTTATTAAGACAATCAGTTGTTCACCAGAGCATATGGAAGCAAATACTAAGTAAAAGGGCAATTCATTACATTGACCTCCACAGGGTAAACAGAATGCTCTTTCAAGATGTTTTCAGAAAAATTGGACATGGAGGAAACTGTGAAGACATCTCTAATACAGTATCTACCTACTGTGTATCTCTAATGAGGCTGTTCCATTAAAGATACAAGAATTGTGGGGTTCAGCTTAGTAGGGCAGAATCTGCCTGAATGAGGCAAGCCCTAGACTCAATCTCAACCCATCAGTGGGGGGAGGATACAAGGACACAGCTTTTAAGACACACTCTGTGTCTCCTATCACATGTTGCCAGTGGAGAAGAGGCGCCCCTAGCTAAGCAGGACCTCTGTGTAACCTCCCATTTGTGTTCCAGTGTGCCGTATAATCATAAAGGCTTCTTTGTGAAAAATGCATTTTGCAGTAACTTATCAAAAGCACCATTGAAGATCTTAATGGTTGAGTAAAAAATATTAAGCAACTCCAAAAAGATAGAGACCCCGTCTCAGCTTAGCCTAAGTAGTTTATGGGCAGAAGCAAGATTGTGAAAACAGCTAAGGATAGCTGGGGGAAAAAAATCAGTTGTGGACAAACATTCTAAGCGAATTTAATAACCTCACATCTGGCTAAGTCCTCTTACCCATCAGTAATTTCTGCCCGCGCCCCCCATCCCCCATCCCAACATATCCTCTTGCCAAACAAATCTCTCAAGAACTTACTGTTAAAAACCTACCTTAGTGCATTAACTTCAGCCAAACCCAGTAACTTATTGTTTAAACCCAGGCATTAACCTTTAAGCTATATCCCAAACTACTGGAGTGTAGTTAACACCATACAAGCAGAGCCAGTAACTCTGCCTTAGAATTTAGATTGTGATCTTTAAAGCTCCATATCTGTCATCTCAATCATGGTGAATGACACTGTAATGTTTGGCTTCCCAAACAGTACAGGATCCAAAACAAAATAATTGTGACTATCTTCACATTAGAAAATGCACTACCTCAAGCCCTATTTCTAGTTAACAGGGAAGGAGAAAATATCTCCCCAGATTATCCCACCACCTGCAGAGACCATTACCCTGGTCAGCAGTATAAAACTCTTAATAGCTTCCAGAAGATCCTTAAAATGCACAGGGTTTTAAGCACATATGCCAGGGAGCCCTGTGAACTCGGCACATGCTGTAGATTGCACATACACTAGGCTGCTTTATGGTAGAACAGTGGCAAGCTGGGCAGAAAAACACTACTACAACTAATAGCTAAAGTAATAGCAGACACAAGACTTCCAGTCCCTTTCAGTTAGGAGGGCTTAACAGTCCCCTAGAACTCAGGCAAAGTGCAATTAACATATGGCTCAGATACCAAATGTGCTAACTGACACCATGAACAAGCTTCTAATGTCTTCTGTAGGACAGGCCAGCCTGACATATACCAAACATCTTTGCGGACAGTAAGGATCAAAATAAAAACTTTTGCTTTTGGTGGAGAGTCAACATGCAGAGTCATCCCTTCCTTCCCTGGGGTGAACCAGAAATGTGCATAGCTCAAGCCACAAGCTAAGAGGTCTAAGAGTCAAATCAAGTCCACAGAAGTCTCAATCTGGCTTTTAACAATGACAAACGGAGCTAAAGGTGTAGTCAGTGTTTAAATGTTGGGGATATTTGACTTCGGAATCCGCAGACCTGGTTACGATGCAATATTGAAATACTTGCACTCTAAGATCTCATGACCCCAACGGGCATAACTGGGGGCAACCTTAATGCCGGTAGAGAGCCAGTCTCCAAAATATGACCGACCCTACCAGTTCCGTTTTCTCACCACTTTTACTTTGATCACCATGAATCTGCCACTCGTGCTTAAGATTCTCACACAGATCTGGGAGTTGTTATAGGGGGAGGAGTTGGTGGAGGGGATGAGTTTGATCAAATGAAACTGTATGCATGTATGAAATCCCAAAATTAAGAATATAGTTTTTAAAAGATTCTAACAATGTCTTTAACCCTTGAAATAAAAATCTTCAATCTAATCTCATCCATACTAAATCCAATCGCTTGAAGTAAGAATGAGCTTAATGGAGAATCTGGACATGAAAGCATCTTCAGGATTCTGTGTTGGTTCTGCTGATCACAATCTCTTGGGAGATGATCAACTTGTTCATCTCTTTCTTTACACTCCTGGTGTTGTTAAACTATTTTATATATCTGACCAGTTCTCTTAGACATTAATATCTAAGCTTAGGGGCTAAAATCAATTATATCATGGTTATAAACTTCGGCTTGAAGGCTGCAGAGAACAAAATTTGCAGCTCAGTAGGGTGATGTTTGTACCGCCATAAATTCATTCCACAAACTCTCCAAGTTAAAAAAAAAATTGTTGAGCTCTCCAAACATCTTCTGTTCCCATCAGAATAAATGGAATAAGTCACTCGACCGAGGCTTTAAAATGATACCCACAGCCTTGAAACTAATATTGAAACAAGCACACACCAACTGGCTCTTTTCTTACCCGGGAATGGCTTACCCATTGCACTGAGATAATGGTTGAAGGCTTGGCAAGGAGGACTTGGGGTTTGTGTTGACTTGTCACAACTCATGGGTGCCGGACTCCTGTCTGTGTCAAAAGAGAAATACCCACTGGAGGACCGGGACAGCAGAGAAGATCTTCTCACAAAGATGAAAAGTGGGGATCTGGTAGCAGAAGGGCCAGGGCTGGCCGGTGGGGCCAGCGGGCCCTGCGGGCTGCCGTGGGGGCAGCGGTCCCCTTCACCGTCAGGATTACCTTGCTGTTCTGTCTGTAGGGAGGTAGGGGCCCCAGGCCTGAGCTGGGGAGGCCTCTCAGCAGGCTGCAATTGTCCACCTTCTCTGTCACACTCAGAACTTACATCAGAAGGTTGCTTGGCCATTTGGTCTTTTTTTCTGCAAGGAAACCGGAAAAAAAAAATCTCGATTATCTTCTGCAAACTAAGTCATAAATAAGATTTCACCTACTCCTTAAGAATTCTAGAGTCAACTTCATATCTTTGTTATGTTGTTTACTTTTCTGATTATCTTCCAAGTAAGATTAAAAGTACACCCAAAATAATTAAGGTGTTTATTTTGGTGCCGTGTGGAACTAAGTAAGATCACTAAACAAAACAAAGTATCAACTCCATAGTTTGTGAGGTCTGTGCGCTCCCGCACAAACACAAGCACAGAAGTTTCCTGGGAAGCAGCTAGTGGGAAGCTTTTCGTTCAGGACAAACTTGAATCAAGTTTGAAAGTCCCAGCGGGCTCTCATTTCCCGGGCTCAGATGCGGTGCTGGAGCACGGGAGCGGGTGCAGATGCAGAGATTGCAGGCGGCTGGCCGCCTTCCCTGCTCCGGCCCCATTGTTTGCCGAAAATGCTGAGGGCAGCAAGTCTGGAGAAGGTTTGGCAGCGGCCGTCAGTCGTAGTAAGTGCGTCACAATAGAGTTTGTAACTCTGAGCGCAGCTCCGCCCGGGTCGAGCGCCCTCGGCCGCAAGGTCCCTCCTGCTCCCAGTCCCTGCGCGCCACCCCAAACACGAAACGACTTCTCCCGGGAGCAACCTTGCCATAATGTGTATACTTCCAAATGGGGGCCTTCAAAGCCATCCCTCTGCAAGCTCCACACCTAGCTGCGCGCGCTCGGCAATAACTAGCGCGCTGGTCCACCCGGTAGACTCTTTCCCTCCCCGGGCCACCACTCCGAGACTTACGTCCTCCCCTTCCCTTCCGAGCGCGGTGTCCTGTGTCGATCGGACGACCCCTGAGCGTCGCCACCGAGGAGACAAGGAAAACAAAGCCAGGCCCTGGGCTCTAGAACCCCGCGCCTGCCCGTCCGCCCGCCGCCACGTTCCGCTGGGGAACCCAAGGTTTCGCACGCCGTGCCTCTGGCCCGCGCTGCACCCGCCGATGCCGGGATCATCCTCCGCCTCCTCCCGCTCCGCCCCTCGCGCGCAGCTCCCGCCGCCGCACGGGCACCGCCAGCCCAGCGCCGCTGGCGCCGGCTGCCAGTGCTCCCCATTGGCCCACGCTCGGTGGCTCTCTTCGGAACCAATGGGCAGAGGCGGCGGGGGCGGCGCCTACGGGTCAGGCAGCCGAAGGCGAGGCGATTGTTGACAAACTCGCCGCCCAGCGCCGCTCCGGCTGTGCCGGCCGCCGCAGTTCTGGCTGGAAGTTAGGGGGCCGGGCTGCTTCGCTCTGCGCCCCGCCCCACCCCCTGGGCCCGGCCCGAACGCCGCGCGCCCTGCGGGAGTTCCCGCCACCCGAGCAGGGGTATACAAGAGACAAAGCGGGACCCGCGCACTCCTGGGATCTGCGGGGCCACGGTCCCACTCCAGGCTACTCTGGGCAAAGACCCTAACGGCCTCCGCAGTACCGTGCCGAACTTCTCTGCAACTTCACCTGTTGTGCCCCATGTGCCACCGCCATGCACCAAATAGGAACGACCATCTCGGGTCTCCGGTGTGTACATCCAAACTCCCGTCCCCAGCGTCCAGTTAGTCCACAAGCAGTGCCTGCCTGGGGGCAGTAGGCCCGGGAGCTCACCGAGCCGCCAGTCTATGCGACTGGGTCCCCAAGCGATCCGGCTCTAGGATCGATCGGGCAGTCAGCTGGCCAGGGCTCAGAACACGCGTGGTCTAAGTAGTCATGGGAGGCCTATGGGATCTCGGATTCTGTAGATACTGTGGCCCTCAGCGTCCACAGAACCCTCGCAAACTGGACAGGGTTGCCAGGGATATCCGGGAAAGCGAGATCGGCTACTGTGGTCAAACCGTGGCTTGAATGAATACAATTAAGGTCTGAGCGCGTGTGATTTTTAATACTCAAACCTCCGCAATGAACCCGCGCCAGAGCAGAGCCAAGTCTATCGGTCCGCGGCCAACGCGCGGCCACTTATCCCGGGTCGCCTGGCTCGCGGCGACCTTCCCGGCTAGAGGCATTGCCGGGCACCAAGGAACCGGTTCCTCGTCTCCAAACCGAGACAACGCGCCCTCCCGGTCCAGGAGAGATGCCTCACCACCCCTTTCGTGCGGCATCCCGGCCCAAGCCAGACTTCGGCTAAGTGCCTGCAGCTTCTGTGCCCGCAACCCTATCCCAGAAGGGCCCTGCCAGGCAGGGACCTTGGCTCGACTCGCTTCATTCGCCTGCTGCAGCCGCGCGCCAAGCGGGACCAATCAGCGCCTCCACGCACGTGAGACGCCAAAGACAGATGAAGGCGCTCGGCGGCTGCGGCGCCCGTCTTCTATCCATCCCCAGCCTGCGCCCCGGGAATCGCGGAGTGTTTACCTTGCGTTTCTCAGTCCGAGAATCAGAGTCAGACATTGGGGGGACGAGGGCCAGGGGAAGGGCGCCGAGGCGTTGGCGGCGAGGAGCAGCAGAAGTTGTGTAGATGCAAGTGGGGCACAGTTCGCAAAGCGGCTGCGGGAACCCGGCGACGGCGACGGCGACGGCGACAGCGGCAAGGACCGCAGAGCTCCAACCAGCTGGTGACCCAGTGCCTGCGGGGAGCGAAGTGAAACCAGCCTGGCCCAGCGACTTTGCTCCTACTGGGCCCCCGCTCCCGTATCCAATCACCGCGGGCTCCGCCCCCCGCTGGGTCCGGCCCTCAGCGAGCCGGAAAACAAGCCCCACCCCCCCCACGGCCCCCCGGCCGGTGGCGCGTGCAGGCTGCGACAGGTACTGGCGAGGGTAGCCCTGCAGCTTCCCTGCAGCGCGCGCGCGCGCCGCCCACCCCAACCTGTTTACCCTAGTGACTTGGCCTGCGGGCAGCTGCATGCAAGCCCATCCTCCAACCCCCTCGAATGTACCCGCCCCTCCCTGCCCCTCCCTGTCCGCCGGTAGCGGCCACCTCGCAGAGCGGAACTTAGGGGGCGCTCAGGGCACACTGCTCTGTGTCCAGCCTGACCGCGGGCACCAGGGGGAAGTCTCAGGAGGAGGCTCTGCGCCCCTGCTTTGCAGAGCTTCTCAGCCCCAAACCATGGGGACTGAGTTAGTGCAAAGATGGGCACTGGCCTTTGACTGTCCTCTCCAAGAAATCATGGCCTCCGGGGAACCCAGTTCAGTAAGATGCTCACCCCTCCTCCGCTGTGCCTCATGCGGGACTCTTCAACACAGCTGCCTTCTGTCGCCATCTAGGCTCTCCCTGATCGTGGTTGTGTGTGTGTGTGTGTGTGTGTGTGTGTGTGCGTGCGTGCGTGCGTGCGTGCGTGTGTGTGTGTGTGTGTGTGTGTGTGTGTGTGATGTTATTTTCCCCAGTGCCCGGTTACTTAAGAGGCAGAGCTGGTGGGAAAGACAGTTGAGGAAAGGGCGAGGGGAAATCCTAGGTCTACAGCGCAGCTTCGGGTCGCAGTGAGCGTGAATGACAAGCAAATAAAATAGGGAATGAGAAAGTAACTACAAAAGAATAATTACAAGGAAAGACGGTTGTGCCACGCGTTGTGTTGGGAGTTCGAAATTTATTGGGCTCACAGAGTACCGCTAGGAACTATCAGTCGGCTGAAGCTGGCGACAGCAGAACAGCAGAGTTCAGGTCGCGCTGGCAGACAAGTGGGGGGGGTCGAAAACTCCCTTTCACCCTCCTGAAGGGTTCCTGTCCCCAGTGGAAGTCTCGAAGTCAATGGTGCCACACACCCCATCCCATCCCCTTCTCTCTCTCACTCTCTCGCCACAGCAACCGGGAGAAGTCGGTCTGGAAATAGAGCTCGGCATCCTACGTGTGAAGATTGAGGAAACTCGATTTAAGAGCCACCCAGCCCGCATCCAGGCTGGCAGAGAGAAGGAAGTGACCTTTTCATGAACAAGTGACAAGACCTATCTCCCCAGCGTCGGACCATCTTGGTCATGTCGGTGTTTATAAGCGGTTCTAACCTCAACGTGACACAGCACAACCTTAGGTTAAAGTCTTGATTCTCAAGCAACTCTGAGGGAGATCAAAGAAGCTACTGGTTCCCAGGGAAGCGGGGGTGGGGGGTGGGGGGGAGGGGGTGCCTCGCGGCAAAGCCCTCTCTCCTGTGGGCCAAGGGTGTTAGCTACAAGAGCGCAGGGCATTGGCGTGGTTGCAGCCAAGCTAGCAGCAAATCCCGGTCTATCCCGGACACCGCTGCGAGCTAGTGCTGTGCCTTGGACACTCCGCATCCCAAAAATGCAACCGGGTATGCCGCTGCTCCGAGAGCCTCTAGTAATAACAGTCTGCCGGCTCCGCACTCTCTGTCGGGAGACAGGCACCTCAGAACCGAGCTAGAAAGAACCACACAAAGAAAAAAAAAAAGTCTCATCGCCCGTTTCTTTGAAGGAGGAGGCTGCCCCGGAGTTTTCCGATTTTGCAACTTTGAGCGTGCTAGAAGAAAACATACTGGCACTGGGGAAAGCAACGGGCTTGGTTATGTGCTCTCATTTAGGACTTAATTAGGAAGTCGGCCTGGAAGTGGAGGCTTTTGCATCACCAGCGAACTTAGGGAGCTTTCACCAAGTGTCTCATGACAGGTGGCCGCGGGCCCTTGGGCAGCGTCAGGAGAACTCCTGGGATCAGATTTGACAGCAGAGAAGAGCAACTTGGGAAGGGCCAGGGAGTCGCCCGTGGCTTCCCGTTGCTGGCAACCGGATGTGGAGAGAGGGAAGCGAGATAATGGCTCTTTTTGAGAATGAAACCGGGCAACCCCAAAGTCAGGACATAAATGAGAAATTCATTTCCTCCTGTGTAATCTCTCCAATTTCCAAAACCAGTTTATTGCAGCTCTTCCCCAGGCCCGCCTCCCCTACCCCTCCAAGCCGCCAGAGTACTTTTCTATCGCTTAATTCACTGAACTTTGCATCTAAGCTTCTCTAAAGGGCGGATTAAAGTTTAGCGCGGTGAACCGCTTGTAGCGTGTCGTCCTGCAGTCCGGAGATCGCCTACCTGGTAGGACCAGCTAGACTCCAGGGTCACGCTCCCCTTTCTCGCTGGCATGTTTCCTAGCAGAGCTGGAGCAAGTCTGATTCACTAATCATCCCTTGCTGAACTTTTGCCCGCGCTTGGAGTGGGTGGAGCTTTTCTCCACCCCTTTTGCCTGAGGGTGTTTGATTTTTATGTTTTGATTTTTTTTTCACCCAGCACCCGAGTTTTTCGAAGTCACTGGGAATCTGAGTCACCGATGACAGCGGAGATCTTTGGTGGCACCGGGCTCCAGCTGGTCTGGGGATCCAGTGCCCCTGTTCGGAGAGGTCAAGACAAGGGGGCCAAGAGAGGTTACCAGATCAGGATAAATTGCAGTACTCCCCAGCCTTGCACCTAGTCTCCTTCTCCCCGACAACCTGTCCTGAGCCTTGCCAGCCTTAGCCAGACCTCCTCCTCTGTGTGACCAAAACCCCCAAGGGTGGCAGCCCTGCACCTGCCACTTAGGCCTCTGCTCCAGCTCTGGGAGCTATTTGAAGAGAACTAGGTGTCAAACTGCGGACCAGCCACTACATTTCTCGCTACGACTGGCTCACAGCTTGGATGGCCGGGAGCGTGCCCCTTCCCGCACCAGCGTTGGCGTAGGCGCCGGGTAGAAGGCCCAGGCAGCCCTGGAGCTGAGGACTCCAGCGATTGGTGCATGGAGGTTGGTGTGTGGAATGTTGAAGGCAGAGATCACCTTCAGGGCGTCATCCTTCAACGACTCGCTCAAATCCAGCAACTGCAAAACACGACACAAAGGGACAGGTCGGATGTGGGCGCGTTCACGGAGGACTTTCCATCCGCCCCCAATCACACAGAAGGGCAGAAATCCCCCCACAACACAGGAAATTATTGTTTCTAAACAACCTGTGTCTTCTTTAAAATTTCTAACTATTTGACCTCCCAGGTCCGGCCGAAATCTAGGTTTTTCCGCTAAGGGTTAAAGGTAAGGGTTCTTTCCCAAGATTATCGGAACTAGAATTAAGGCTGCCTCCTCTCCGCTCACGTTCACTTTTCTTCTTCCCGCCCTTCTCCACCTCTGGAGTGCCACCCTCTGGCGCACAGAGGCAACTGACAAGAAGAGCCTCTGTCTGAAAAGATGAGCAGGAGAAAAGACCAGCCCCCACCTCGCCAGAAGGGTGCCAACAGAGCCTGAAAGGCAGCAAGAAATGGTCCCTGAGACTTGAGTGGACCAGAAAGCAAGGCTAAGTGCTGATCACTTTCCGCGATCTCCAACTATGCAAAATGGACCAGCAGTCGTTCGCACTCTGCTAGCTAGTGCAGGTACATCCGGATAGACTTCCCAGAAGGGAGGGGATGTGGCCGGCCAGGGTTTTGGAGAAGTTGCACTGGCTGGCTGTGTTTCTATTTCATTTTCCATGATTTAAATGCCAGCACACACACACCCAAGGCAGCCAAAATAAAGGATTATTTTTCTAGATCTGAACAAGGGCAGAGGCCTGTTTTTCTTTTCCCAAAGCAGCTACATACCGTAACTCCCGACTTTTTTTCAAGTCTTCATAAAGCTAGCTTACATTTCTTTTACTGACTAAATCACAACAACCTCCGGGGCTTCATGGTTTATTTTTATGGTTTTAAAAACCACTTTTATGGGCCCCACCTTTGTCCTTGTGTGCTGCCCATATTTTAAGAGTGTTCTTTCCCTGCAGCAGCCCTCCCCCCAAAGAAAACATTTCAGGTGTCAGAAACTGTAGTGGCTCCCCAGATGATGAACCTGTCTTTTGGGAGAGAAACCCAAATAAAAGAGAGAAAGGGGGAAAAAGGAGAGAGGGCAATTCAAGGTTTTCTTCCTTAAAAACGTACATATTGCACCAGTGATTTCTAGTCTAAAGCTTTGTTCTTCACACACCAACCATGGTTAGGAACCATCAAATAAGTACTGAAAAGACTTTGATCACATTTGCAAGATGCGACAAGACAGACCGTAACTGACTGAGATCTCCAAGTCTGTAATTAATACTCTTGACAAATCCCCAGCTAATCTGTCAACTCTTGGTGTCTTTAACCACACATTTTAAAATCATGAGATGATATACATGGCCCCTGAACTTGCCACATGTAGTCATGAAATTATTCAAGATAATGTTCCCTTTGGGTTTCATTAAGGCAGCTAGGTCATGATTACCAATGGGGAAAACTTGCTTTGAAAGAAGGCTTATGAGAAAACACTATGGGGTTGGTTTGTCTAATGCTATATATATATATATATATATATATATATATATATATATATATGTCAAAGGTAGAAATTACAGAAAGTGATTTCTATTTTCTATAAGGAAGAGGAGGAAGGAGGAGGAAAAGAAGAAGAAAAAGGGGAAGAAGAAAAGTATTTCTATACTCTAATTCTGTAGGAATGACCCAACCCCTGACACTGGAAAGGTACACTGGACTGCCTAGGAACACCAAACATTGACTGGAAGGATGGGGAAGGGTGTCTGTCATCCACCCCACTTCCATCCAGCTTTGCCTATTATTAAGATAAGCATTACAATCCTTTCACTTCCAATATTTGAATTGTAGTCCTGTCCTGTGTTGGGCACCATAATGGACTTGAAAAGCTTACATGCACACTGCACACTGAAGACAGTCATAACCTCTTACATCAGGAAGCTATTGCAAAGTTTCAGAGGCTTCAAAAATGAAACCTGAATAGTAACTGGAGATATGGCTCAGTGGTTAAGCACACTTGCTACTCTTGCATAGGGCCTGGGATCAGTTCCCAGCACACATATGGTGACTGACAGCTATCTGTAACTTCCAATTCCAGAGGATCCAGTGCTCTCTTTTGGCTTCCCTGGGCTCCAAGGACACATGTGGTGCATGTAAGCAAACATTCATACACATAAAATAAAAGTAGACTGTAAAATAAAATAAAAACACAATCAATCCCCTTAATACAAAAAAGAAGTACTTGAGTAGAGCCTGGAGAGATGACCCAGGGGTTACAAGCCCTTTATGCTCATTCAGAGGACTGTAGCCAGACTTTCTTTGGACTGCCAGCTCCCAAATAATGACACAGAGACTTCTTGTTAATTATTGAAGCTTGGCTTAGCTTAGGCTTATTCCAAGATAGCTCTTATAACTTAAATTAATCTGTTTACATTAATCTATATTCTGCCATATCGCTCATAACCTCTTCTCCATACTTTTTGTTCAACTTCCTCATGTCTCACTGGTGAATTTCCCATGTCTCAGATTCCTCCCAGAGTTCCTATTTCTCTCTGGAAGTCCCTTTTATCCCCTCCTGCCTAGCTACTGATCATTCAGCTCTTTATTAAGGTGACTTTCATACAGTGTAATCAACTATCCCAGAGACAGAGAACCCAGGTTTGGTTCCCAGCACCCAGGGAACCAAACCTAGGTTATATTACTATGTAACCTAGGGGAAGGAATTCCTGTCTTCTTTGGCTCCCTATACCCACCTGCTTGTGATAGTTTCTTCTTCTCCCCTGTTTGATTCTCCCAGCACTGCCGTGTCCATTAGGATAGGATACCTAACACCAGCAATCTCTGAACTTCCCACACTCTGAGCTCTCTTACTCCCTCTCAGCAAGGCCCTGACAACATAGGAATTTTCAGGGTGTTGCACCCCATCACTGTTTGCACTCTGTGCATAAAGCTTCTCTGCTTCTATGTGTCTTGCCTCTGTTTCCAGCTCCAGGTGCTTTTGGGGATACCCAAGTTGAAATGTGTGGAGAGATGAATAGCTAATCAGTGCTTGGACACGTCCATGAATTTGAGAGGACATATGGCTCACTTAGCCAGTAGAACTTGGAAAAAGACAGTTCCACCACCTAGGCCTTAAAGAGGCTTTGCAGTCCTGCTCTTGTTTTCCTGTGACCCTGATACCACTAGCTGTCTAGTATCATCTGCTGGGGCGTGGAACCCTAACACAGAAGGACAAAGGAGCCTGGAAGAAGAGCCAGCATTCACCGCTGATGCTGCTAAAAGGCCACCTGCCCCTCCAGCACTGTTGTACCCTCTGACTGTAACCCAGGAATGATCACATTTAAGACTGCCAAGGCCACAGCCTCACAGAACTGGAATTAATCACTATTGATGGCTAATGTCCAGAAATGCAAAGCACATAACTTGCTATATCAGTTATACCCCATTTTCAAAAAGAACCAGTTGGAGTTGACTTCCATCATCTAAAGGACTATTTGGTACTGAATAATAGCTTGTTCATTATTTTCATCCAACTTGATTTTTGATGAACCTGGCTATTGGGAGAGAAACCCCAAAAAGAAGAGGAATTGGGGCTGCGGATGGTTCAGCAGTTAAGAGTGCTTCCTGCTCTTGCAGAGGATCTGAGTTCAGTTCTCAGCACCCATGTATGGTTTTAAGTGCCTGTAACTTGAATTTCATAGGATCCATGTGTATGTTTACACACAGAGACATACATACATATACATAAAATAAAATGAATCTTTTTTAAAGAGCAAGAGTATCCTCAAGAGTGGAGAGATGACTCAGTAGTTACAAATGAGGACACACACATATACTATTAACAAGAGATACCACACAAACTGCTACAGTAAGTGTCTGCCATGCCAGAATTGCTGGTGGAGGTTAGAATTCCCAGGGATTGCTGGCCAGAGAGTCTGGCACACTCAGTGAGCCCCAAGTTTGCTAAGAAATCCTGTCTCAAAAAAAAGATAAGGAGAAGGAGATCAACTGAGGAAGACACTAGATGTGGACTTCGGTTATCACATACACACACATATGTACGTGTACACCCATGCACACACACATGTACATGTAGACCCATGCACACACACATGTACATGTAGACCCATGCACACACACATGTACATGTAGACCCATGCACACACACATATGTACATATAGACCCATGCACACACACACACATGTACATGTAGACTCATGCACACAAACAAGCACACACACAAAGGAACATGAATCTTCAAATAATTGAGAGAAATATTGTTTTATCTAAAGATGTGATGGGGATAAAATTCAAGCTGCTGGTGAAATGATGTTTCTGTATTATGTTTTGTTTTTGAGACAGGGTCTTACTGCGTAGCTCTGGCTGGCCTGGAACTTGCTATGTAGACCAGGCTATCCTCAAACTCACAGACGTCTACCTGACTCTGCCTCTCAGTTGCTGGGACTAAAGTTGTGTGCCCCCCTTGTCCAGCTTCTGTATAATTTACGGCTGTCACTCAATATCTTTGCTCCTGTGGTGACCTGTAACTGCTATTTTCACTGAACACCCAGACCCAGAGGCTTTGCTCTGGCTTATTCCCCACCTATTTATCCCTTCTAAGATTTTTACCTTGGTTAACTTTGATTGTTAACTTGATTGAATTAATAAACATCTAGAACATTCATGAGACATTCATGTGTATGTGCATGTATGTGTGTGAGGAAAGATGGGGGGGGGGTGGCAAGTTCTGATGGCTTTTGAGGAGAGGATTGCCCTGAGCCAGGAGAGCTACTTTGCATGCAGGCTGAACCACCCCACAGGCTGGGGCAGGGGCTGGCCTGAATAAAAATGGGAGAAAGGAGAAAGCCAGCTGGGCGCCAGGACCCCCATCCACTAAGATATGAGCAAACTCCTGCTGCCATGCTGTCCCTACCATGATGGACTGTATCCATAAGATGTAAGCCTACGTAAATCCTTCCTCCTTTGAATTGCCTCCTGTCGAGTATTCCTTCACAGAAATGAGGGAAGTAATTCAAGCTGCTTAG